GCTTGCTTTACTTGTATCTTAAGTTGTAGACTGTCCAAAGCATCTACAAACTGATCCCTCAGCAACAACTTGAGGACATCAGGTGCATCAAATCTGCTAAGCTGTAGTTTGATTTGCCACCTCTCGTTTCCATCTTCTGCTTCTTCTTTTTTATTTTTATTTTCCGTTCCACTCTCTGACACCAATTTGTTACGTCTCTGGTCGTTTGTTAATTTCCCGTATAATTTCTTTCGGATGAAACTTTAGCAATACAAGTCTTTTCTTAAATAAAACTAGTTTATTCTTTCTCAATACAACTTTGCAATACACTTAATTTCCACAGTCACTTTAATTTAAACACACGCTATAATTCACAACGATTTACGCACTTTACTTACAGTCACTATCGCGCTTGACTCAATTGTCCGTCTCTGTCTCTTCTTGTCTGCAATTATCTTTGCCGTCACTTTATTTGCTGGCTTGTATACTAAAATAGAGTACGGTAGAAAAGACTAGAGTTGTTGGGAACAGACATGATCCTTCTAGAAACCCATGACGTGTTACCAGCGTCACGTGATTACCGCTGTCGTAACAATACGTTGATGACTCATGTTATATTCAGTATTATATAAGTTATTATGCATATCCATTGCTTGTGCAGTTATGATGTTATTAAGGAAATAGCGCTATAAATCAAACAAATGTTCATTATTTGCCCACTTATCTCGACTAGCAACCTGCGGGTCACGGATCGAATCCCACCATTGAACGCGCTCGCCTTTCAGCTGTGAGGGCGTTATAATATCGGGCCCCACTATTCGTTAGTAATAAATAGCTCAAGATCTTGTTGTGGATGGCGTTGACTAACTAACTTCAATCTAGCCTATCACTTTAACATTAGGAACGGCTGACGCATATAGCATTCGAGTAATTTTGCTCGAAATTCAACAAAAAAGTAAACAAATCGTTCAGTTGGACTTGAGAGTTTTCGTATTGAGAACCATTTTTAGGGTTTTTGCGTCAGCGAAGTCACATGACTAATGTGACGCCACGTTTCAGAACTATCCTGTACCTT